GTCTGTCCCCAGTTGTCCCCTAGTTGCTGTTATCATTCAGGCTAGCGTTTGTGTGGGCTGCGGGCTTGAATTTTCTTTCTTTTTCCCTTCTTCCTTCTCTCTCTCTCTTTCACTAGCTTCAAAGAAACGAGGAAAGGTGCTGGGATGTGTTCTCTTGATGAGTCTCTGCTAGGACCTACAGGAGAAAGGAGACCCCCTGGCTATCACACAGCAGATCTCACTGCAGTCTCTATTCCTTCAATGTGTTAGGGTTATCAGGCAAAAAGCCAATTAACAACCTCTGCTTTATTTCTGTGGTAATAATTAACCAACTCTAAAATTTCAGCATAAAATCCCAACTCCTACCGCAAGTACAAAGCCTCATATGATTTGCTCCTACCTGTCTCTTCCGCTGCATCTTAGGCCGTTCTGCGCTCCTCGGGCTGCTCCAGCCACACCCGCTGCTTCTCAGCACTGGAAATGTGACTAGTCTGAACTGAAATGTGCTGGAAGTATAAAATATACACCGGACTTTTAGGCAAAATATATCATTAATATATATCATTAATCATTAATGATTTTATATTGATTACATGTTAAGTTACTACTGAAATTAATTTAACTTGTTCTTTTTTACTTTTTTGTGGCAGTTCGAACACTGAAAATGTAATTTGTGGTTCGCATTGTTTCTATCACCTGTTTAGTGCCTTTCTGGTCCAACTAGAACGTAAGCCAGGACGCCTGTCGGGCTCATTCACACCTGATTCCCAGGCACTGAGGTGAGAGCCTGAAGCTAGTAAGTACTCTACAAATCTAGTCTTTGAATGAAGGACCTTACTCTTTCCTCAGCCGGAGACTGAAGAACACGAGGTCTCAAGTCCTCTGAGCTACACCCGCAGCTCAGCGCTGACCACATGCTCCCGACACTGGGCGCGGGGTGGATGCACATCCACACGGGAGAAAACCTTCCTGGGCGAAGGGACTGGTCGCACAATGCAAAAGGAAAACCACAAGCCCTCGCCCCTCTGTCTTCTTTCCCCCTGGAGCCCCGCCCCACGGCCAATCACTGCGCACTTCGCCCTCGCGCCACACGGCGGCGTCTCGCGAGGGCGCGGCGGCCGGTGGTACAGTCCGTCCTCCCCGCGCCCCCTGGACAGTGGGTCCTTCCAGTCGTAGAAAAGCATTGTGGGAGAGGCCTGAGGCCTTTCTTGTTTCTGCGCTGGGTTACCGTGGAGCCGCTCTCCGTCTTCCGGAATGGCGGGGACCTCGGCTTGCACGGTGTCTTGGCCCCTAACGCGCCCGGGCTCCGGGCCGGGGCGCTCGGTCGCCCTGAGGGTGATGAGACGCCTTTCGCAGCCGGGCCGGCCCCGAGGATCCCGTTCCCTGAGTCCGTGGAGGGCGGAGGGCAGCGGCCTGGCCTCGGCCACGTTGCCCGTGGACCGTAGGAGGCTCCGAAGCGGCTCCCAGGCTGCGTACCCACGCCAGGAAATGGGAGATGGATGGGTTTGAGTGCATTGATTTTACTGGTCATCGACTGCGTGTCAGGCAGGGAGATACTCATATAAGCAGGGAATTTTTTCGTGTGAAAGAGAAAGGCCTCACCATAGGTAGGCATGTATGCCTACGGCATCACAGTTAAGATCAAGTCAACGTAGGAGTAAAGTGCCATTTAAGGTTTAGATCTTGATAATTGTTTCAAGACGCAGAACTCGGCGAGAGTGTCCTCAATTTTGCAGGTGAGTTTGCATGTTAGTGCAAGAAAAACCAGTTGCCTCGCAGCTTGAAAGTTTTAACCACGTAAAATATTTTAAATTGCAGTTCTCGTTACCTAGTTTGGGGTTTGAATTGTAAAGGAAATCTACAGCTGGATTTAATCCCTTTCCAGCTCTAACCCACAGAACAGTACATTATGGGGTCAGCAACTTTGTGCCATAGATAGAGCAGTCCTGCGGTTTTCTTGTAGCCTTTGTGTTGCCCGTTCACTTTTGGAAACTAGTGAATGTGGTGTCAAAAAAGGCATAAACTAAACACTTTGCAGCTTTTTCCTGCCCTTGAATTTGGTATTTTTGGTGTAGGAGCTGCATAAGTAACAGTTGATGCTTTTACATTAGTTTACACCTGTGGTCTTGAGTTTGCCAACATGAGGTGTATGTAGTTTTTCTTAGCGGTTTTTAAATTTTGTGCAGGTGAAAGCTGGATGCTTGAAGCAAAGACTGCTGCCAGCTGAACACTGGGAGCACAAAGGTGACCTAAGGTAGGGTGATGCTACATTGTAGTTCTGTCCTAAAGCAGTTACTCCTAATGCAAATTTTATCTTTATAGATTGGGGTTCCTTTTCTCATGGGTGTTAACTTAAATTAGTATTAGTACTGCAACATCTGTAGTCAACAAGGTGAGGTTAACAGCAAATAGGGTGGCCTGTTCCTAGCTTATTTTTGAAATTTTAAGATAACGTGTTTGTGTAGTACCTAAATTTCAAACACTTAGCCAAATCTCTGGTATGTTGTATGTGGACATTTAAAGCTGAGTCCAGACCTGCATAACTTAATGCAATTCAGAGGACTATGAATTGTTTAATTAAGCGATGATACAGGTGAATATTTGCTTGTCAAATTGAATGCTTTATTTTGTTTTTCAGGATGTCTTTGATGAAGAATTCAAAAACATAGGAAATCTTGACAAGAGTTGCTTGGATCATTTAAAACTCCCAGGAGCCTGAGGGGTACTAAAATTACTGCTTTTGGACAGTCTATAAAAACACACTTAAAACAGTAGGGCTACAAATAAATATTTCATTGTGCTTTGTGGAGGCTTGTGTATTAAGTAATTAACTACCGGCAAATAGCATTCTTCACTGAAAGATCAAAGGGAAAGGAGGGAGGGTTTCTCCTTCCTCCCCCAGCAACTTCAAAATGGTTAAATCTCAGTAGTTAAGATTAGTATTCAGTGCAACCAGTTAAGAATAGCCTTGTGAGATAGAGGCTTATGCTACACCCAAGGAGAAATAAGTGCTTTCTTTCAGTGCCTTCTGCATGATGAACTGAACTAGACTAGCTGGTTTCTAGGTCACAGGTGTTTTACATTGTCACTGCATTTTTATTTTTACTAGATGGCAGTCAGCACATCCTCTGCCTTCACTTTTCAGGAAAGAGCAAATAGTCTGAGCATTCAAAAAATTTATTGAACTTTTCATTAATGTACTAGGAAGTGGGAACACAAGGGTGAGCAAAACAGTTCCTCCCTTTGGAAGCTGAGAGTTGAATGGCAGAAATGTCATCGCAAATATAAAACTTACTTTGTGAGACAAGTCCCATGCATGAGTTGACTAAGACAAACCTGAGAAAGCGGTTGAGCCTAAAGGTAGGTGTCATTTTTGCAAGGCAAAGTTGGGGATGGCATGTGCAGAGGCCTTGGGCTAGAAAAGGTCCAGATTTGTGATAGTTGTAGTTACTTTCCCTCTTAAGTGTCCTGATTTATAAATGAGTGCTTAATGAGGCTTGAAGGTGGCTGTTAGCTGAGCCCCGAGTATAACAAAACGAGCCTAAATAACAGGTAAGAGACCAGATCATTTACGGCTTTGTTTACAGCAAGGGGAAACCTAGGATAGTTAATATCTGAGAAAGGATGTGGTGGACCAGTTGGAGAATACTGCAGTTGTCTAGGCAAGAGACAACCACCATGGACCAGGGTGGTAAAATTTGTGGAGATCATTAGCTGTAGAGGGCAAAGCTCACAGGACTTGGTAATAGGGAAGGTGTCTATAACGACTGGTAGGTGTGTAGTCTTGCACATTCACAAGCATAATGGTCCTAAATCCAGCTAGAGAGCAGCATTTTAAACTAGTTGAATTGGGATTGCCTTTGAGACATCTTTTAAGTGGCCTTCTGGCAGAACACTGGTCTATAGACTAAGCTATAGGAATACTTTAAGGCTACGGGCATAAATGAGATCCACCTAGAGGGAGAGGACTGAGTGAGAAATTGGCGAGGTAGAATAGCATCTTACTGAAGAGCAGTAAAGGATGGTCAGAAATGTAGAAAACAATGGAATACTGCACTAAAAATGTTGCAAGGCAGCCTAAAAGTTACCCTTGGGATTTGGTACACAAAGCAGTTTTAGTGACGTCTGTAGTGGAGCAGTGGGGGAGAATCTTGGTTTAAAGTCAAGATTAGGAGATGGGTTGAGGACACAGGCTACAGATAACCCTTTCAGGAAACTTGAAGAGAGAAAGATGACTGGGGAGGGATTTGTGGTTGTGAAAGCTGGTTGGCTTTTTTTTTGGTGGGAGAGTTAACAGTTTAAAACCAAGTCACAAGGGTCTAGCTGAGAGTAAGTTGATAGGGATAAGGCTGAAGGAGATTGGGCTCCAAAGCACAGGTGCAGGGACAGAGTAGTGTTGATGGCAGCTCTGGAGAAATTTGTGGGAGGGAGGTGGTGAAATGTCCTGCATGAGTATTTCTATTTTCCCCGTGATAGTCACCCTCAAATGAATTAGTCTTTGGGGGAGTTAGGTAGCTAGGCAGGATGGAGGGACCATTTGTGGTTGAGGGTCGTGAATTTATAAACTGAGGTCAACTGAAATCCACACAGTCTGTTTTCTGAAAACACAAGGACAGTAGAAATTAAAAGCAACACTTAAAAGCTTTTTACATTTGTAAATAACCAGTGGAACTTAATACCACAAAATACGGTATTACAAAGAACATATTTATATGAATAAAAACCATCTGCAGTCTGAAAGTGATGTGTCAGTCTTCATACATCTGTGCACAGGCTGAGAGCCACCTAGAGTTGGGAAGGACCTTTTCATCCACTTGGTGTGCTATTGCACAGCTAGGCAGCTGCACACCAGGATTCCAGAGCTTTGATTGGAAGCATCTGGTCTTGGTCGTGGACACAAGATACTTGGAGTCTCCAGGAAGGAAAATAGGGCATCAAGTGAATGAGTTTTCACAAGACTATTCCAGTTACCAAAAAAAAAAAAGGGGGCCCTTAAGCACAAATAATGCTTTTAAACCTTTAAAAGACGCAAAAGGTTTGATTTTTTTTTTTTTTTCCGAAGAAACACTTGCAGGTCCAAGATACTTGAATAATTACAATTCACAGTTTGAAAGTACAGGTGGCACACCCCCTCCCACCCCCAATCCCAGGCCCCTCTTCCCGGGCATCGTCAAGTCTCTATCTTGAGGCGTGAAGCTTGGACAGTTTTGACTGTTTTTGCCGTGTGTTTTCCAGCTAGATTGCTTGTAGATGTCTGAGATTTTTCTTCAATCAGGCTATCTTTAGATCCATTTCTTCTCTAGGAAAAAATAATATTCAAAAGATAAGATTCAGAGAAGAGAACAGTGAAATCAGTTTTATTAATACATCAGAAATCAAGACCTCAAATCACAAAATATTAAAACTTCACAATATCAAAAGCAGTTCAATGAATACTCAAGTTATAACATGAAGACTTTAAATCTTTAAAGTTAAATCATAGTTACATGCATAATACGCTTTATGTATGAAAATTAGTCCTCGGGGAGCCTGGGTGGCCCAGTCGTTAAGGATCTGCCTTCGGCTCAGGTCATGATCCCAGGGTCCTGGGATTGAGCCCCGCACCGGGCTCCCTGCTCGGTAGGAAGCCTGCTCTCCCTCTCCCACTTCCCCTGCTTGTGTTCCCCTTCTCACTGCTTCTCTCTCTGTCAAATAAATCTTTAAAAAAAAAAGAAAATTAGTCAAGCATGCCAATTAAGTGTCATTTTTCTGTGTAGTTATTAACTAAGCTCCAAGGTTGAATCAGGATCATTTTAGAGTGTGAGACATCTGTTGGAAATGGAAGATTTCTAGATAATCATAAGGACCCTGCAGTGTGTCAGCGCAGGGGGATGGAAAGCTAATACAGGAGTTGGAAAAGGAGCAGGGAGGTTACCTAAAACAAGCCACTACCTTGTAAGTTAGTCTACCATTAACCCTTTCCCCTCTGCATATCTTAAGGAAATAAAGTGAATCAGAGTCCCTCATCCATCCCACTTTTACCAGCCTTGTGCATGGTGAGGTGAGGTGGAGGCAGGCCAAGCCACTACTAGACCTCTGGCACCCTGGCCGAACTAGGACATGCAGCTTTGCTGCTTCCCTATGTCACTCAAGTCCTTTCTCCACATGGCAGCCAGATCAATGGGTTCTTTTTGGCACTTAGAATAAAATCCAGACTACTTCCGTGGTGTCTAAAGCCCTGTGTTATCTGCCCCCACCCCCACCAGGCCAAGACCACACAGGGCTTTCAGCTCAAACACTCAGGCCCTTTACAGACTGTTTTCTCCCACGCTCTTCCCTCTGCACATGGGTGGCTCATCCCCTGCAAGGTTTCAGCTTTACACTTCGGTTTCTGAGATGGCTTTCTTTGACCACTCATCTCTGTAAGGTGAGGTCACCTGTTGATTTGCTAACTCAGCCCTTTGTTTCTTCATAATGGTTACTAATTTTTTTAATTTTGCCTGTTTTATGTGTTATATGTCTAGGCCAGGAGTCAGCAAACATTTTTCTGTGAAGGGCCAGACTGTGGACTACATCTGGTTGTTGTTACGTGTTGCCCCCCCCCTTCTTTAAAAGAGCCCTTTAAAAATGGAAAAGGCATTATCAGCTCCTGGGCTGTACGAAAACAGGCAGACCAGATTTAGCCTATAGACTAGTCTGCTGACTACCCAACGAGTGCCTGTCACTCTACATCTGCTCATTAGATGTTTGTTGAATTCAAAGTCAAAGGTGTCACAGAGACAAACTTAGAATCTGTCAGTGCCACTGGTAAGAAGATGCACGGGAGTTGTTCTTGTACGGAGCAAAGTGAGAGCTATTCTCTCAATGTGCCTAAGTTGGAGATTCCTAAGTGATGGTGATTAGGGAGTCTAGAGTAGTTGGAAAAGCAAAACTACGATAAGATTCTTATTTGTACTGAGTCCAACTTCAAAAAGTTCTGAAAAATAATGCTTATTTATCCTCATAGTAACCTTAACAGGGTTACTACCTACATTGTACAAAAATTGAAGTTTAGAAGTTAAACGGTTTGTCCAAAGTCACACAAGTGCTATGTGGAGACAAGGAGACAAAAATGCAGGTCAATCTGAATGCAAAGCCTAAACCAATCTTGAATATAAATTTTTTAAAACTACTATTGACTTGAAACAAATTGGGCAACCTGTTAGCTCTCCCAGATATATCTAATCAAAAATGAGGCAGATTTTGGTGGAAGTTGGGATCAACTACCTTGATCTCCATTCTGGACTGAGGCATTCACTACCCCAGCTGCTGGGAGTGTTGGCTGCCCTACAGCTCAAAAACTGAGCCCTTCCCCAGAAACTCCCCCAGGGCACCCCTTATCAAGTGACTTGCTCCATGGTGAATTTGAGTGCGTAAAGGCCCAAGAGCTTTGTGTCCACGTGGGAGGGATTGGATGGACCATCTCAGCTCTAGAGCTCCCTGTGAAATCAGCTGATGCTTTATTGGGAGTACACCACACACTTCCACTCTTGCCTTTCACTTCCCAAGTGTTGATCCTAAGAGTGTTTTCCAATAAACTTCCTCCTTGTAAACTTCAATCTCAGAATCTCTTCCCAGGGAGCCTAAGTTAAATCAGCATAGGCTTTTCTGTCCCTGCTCAAGTCAATGACAAAAATTATCAGGAGAAACAAAGGGCAGCATATGACAAGTAACGCTGGAGTCCGTTTTCTTAAGTTGTCCATAAACTCCCTGAATTTACATACAAAGCTATGTATGTGCTTACATGCATTTTTATGGGACAGAAACAGCAGTTATAACTGCTTTCCACAGGGATCCAGGATCTAAAAACTGAAAACCACGCACTGCGAACAGTGGGCTGACACTGATCCATTATAAACATCAACTTTGTTCTTAGAGTGAAGGTTTAACCAGATATAAATCCATCCAATGATCTTACACAACCTACTATTTCCTCTTATTTATCATGAGAGATGGTGTTAAACACCTTGCTGCAATATGTTTGTGACAGTGCTCTCCTGATATATCTAATTCAGCTGAGTATTAAATTGATTTTGTTAAGGCAGCTAGATGCTCTACTATGTCCTTGAATTCCCTTTTAACCACATTTTTTTAAACATTTCCAGAACAAAAGTAATTCTCTTTGATGGAGAAGACAGAAATAAAATAGGACTTGAGTAATTCTGTCTGCCATTAGTTAACAATAGAACATCTGCCCTGCTGTGAGTCTATCACTTTCTCCTTGCTTCTCTGGCTCAAAAGATATCTAAAAGAATTTTTTTTTTTTTTAATTAGTGAAACCATTGTTTCTTCATTCTGGTTCCAAACAATCTTATCATCTCTGTTATCCTTGGCTTTGCTCCAAGCATCAGATCACTTGAGACCTTGCACTAGCTCTAGCTCTCACTTCTAACATAACTCTACCCACGTTGTGCCTTGCCTTGATCATGTAACCCTCCTTCCTTCTTCCACACTCTGTATACCTTCTTTTTAAAATTACAGAATCTCAGAGTGAAGTTAGAGATTCATTGCTCTATTTCCCCCAAAAGACCTTTCAGAAAAGTGCTTCTGAAAAATTGTCATCAGTACCAACACCTTAAAACTTCATTACCAACCTGATGAACCGTGGAGCCACCAGAACCCTGAGCATCTGAAGAACGGGTCACAGGAAGTGGAGGTACCAGATCCGTTTTTGAACTGCAGAGAATTTGTTTTAGAATTAAGGATTGAAACAGTACCTAGAATCACAACTTAGGCTGGAAGAGGATTACAGGATAGAAAGCATGTTTTATATACCTTCATATTCCTTACAGTGCCTACACAGTGCTTTACACAGAGAGGTGTTTAATAAATGTTTTTGAATTAAGTTGAGCAGGTTAGGTAACTTGTTCAAAATCACAGCAAATACATAGGAGAACCAAGAATAAAACAGGTGTGGTTCCCGTGTGCTTTTGTTACTGCGACATGTATAAATGGCTTTTTGATTTGTTTCCAGAGAAGCATTTATTGGCCATTTATTCTTTTTCTATAAACCTATGAGGCTATAAATAGCCAGGCTCTACATTTTACAAACGAAACAAAAAATAAACAAAACCTGGCCTATACCTCTCTCTGCTGGGTTAGTCTATCTCCCAATTTATTGTTAGTCTATCTCCCAATTTAAAATTTTGAGCCTTAATTCAGAGTTCAATGATTAACATTCCTACCCAGCAATACCAAGTACATGATGCATAATTATTTCGTTAGCATATTCATTTAAAATATAGCACCTATTGTGACCATAGTGTGAGATACGGTCACTTTCCTCAAAAGAAAAACCAAATACAAAGAAATGACTGCAACACATATTTGCTGTAGTAAAAGAAAATGTCCTCAGATCAGAAAGAAACTTATGCCACTTCTCTCAAATAAGGACGCATTATTCATAACAGAATAATTCATACATCTTCTTCTTCTAAAAGTTTCAGTGCAGGGGCGCCTGGGTGGCTCAGTCAGTTAAGTGTCTGCTTTGGCTCAGGGCAGGATCCAAGGGTCCTGGATCAAGCCCCACATCGGGCTCCCTGCTCACTGGGAAGCCTGCTTCTCCCTCTCCCTCTGCCATATGCCCCGACTTGTGCTCTCTGGCATGCTCTCTCTCTCTCTATCCCTGTCAAATGAATAAATAAAAATCGTAAAAATAAATAAAAGTTTCAGTACATAGCTTGGAGGTGTCATGATTTAGCCTAAGTATGGTCTAGCTCTGTGCCATCCAATATGGTTGCCACTAGCCATACAGGGCTATTTAAATTTAAATTAATTAAAAATAATATTAAATTCAGTTTCTTTGTCACACTAGCCACCTTTCAAATAATAGCCACAGATACAGAACATTTCCATCATTGCAGAAAATCCCATTATACTGTGCTGTTCTGGAGCTGGAACCATGTAGGGGATGATGTACTCAAGCTTGCCTACTTACTTCACCTCCGAGAGAACAGATCGCTCTCCATCTGAACACTGGGACCGGCGATACTGGCGGTAACTTCGCGGCGAATGGGAATGCCTGATGCGGATTGGGTCACCTTGAGTCCTGAACAAGCAACCAAAAATGTGGAAACAAACCAGAAGTCAGAACAGGATAATTTGGAATTTTCCCTTAAGGTGGAAACCACAGAAGAATAAGACTTCAAAAGTTTAAAAAGAACTTGATCCCTCTGAGCCTGAAAAGCCTAAGTGGCTTAAATTTCACAAGCTAACAACAGAACACTTCTCCTTTGACCAAACATGAAAATGACACTCTAGTATTTGTATGTATGTGGGGGTATATATATATATTCTCTAAATGAAAAAATTTTTAATGAAACTATTCCCAGTTGAATTTTTTCCAAAACTGTGTAAAAAAAAAAACCCTACAATACAGACAAAATGGCATTCCTACCAGAAAACGTTGGTCCTTGTCCTAGCTACTAATTAGCCCATCATTAAGAATTCAATCTTTGGCCCAAAGATAAGGAGAGGTAGGAATGGGAGTTGGGGAGAGTGTGTACAAACCTGCTGTTTGACCAGAGTGGGAAGCAAGCATGGGTTACAGAGGGACATAAAGCAATGAAGTAGAATCCCACTTTCTCTTAACTAATTATAGCAGGACAGAAAACAGAGTAAATAGATCATCTTACACTGCATCCTATATTGAATGATGATTAGGGAGTCCTGTTATGCTTCCATGAAGCATGTTCAATGTGCTAGTTCTATGACAGGGATTGGATTGGGCTTATATGACAGGATTTGTGGCCAACATAATTCTCTGGGCATTAAAGTAATGAATAAGAAGAAACATTGTTACCAATCAGTGAATATCTCAAAAAAGGAATTTTTATTTTAAAACTGACATTAATCATCAAAAGCCCCCTTGTAGCTATCACATACAAACAGGCAGTTAATAGGAGATGAAAGTGATTGTAGGACAGAATAACAATTAGCTTTAATACACCCTTTTCTACCTCTATCCCTAAAGTTGCAATTTTAGTTAAAACTCAAAAACAAATTAAAGCACTTCATGGAACACCAATGAAGAGTAAGAATGGATTATTTACTAATAAGTATTAATAAAACTTTTGTGAAAAGATTTTCAAAGACATACGCACTCTACTTTAGTATATGGAATCTCTTTTAATTGTTCTTCAGACAATCCAGAAGGATCCACAAGTTCCTTTCTAGAAGGGAATGTGCAAGAAAATTAAAGTTATGATGCTGATATGAATACTAATACCTTTCACAATCGGCAGATGGGTTTTCCCTTCCTAATCGTGTCCCAAAACACAATGTTAGTAAAACTAAGAGAAACATAAGCCAGGAACAAAGATTAAAAAACTAGAATGTATTCAAGCAGAAACAGGGGGGAAAAAAAAAACCTTTTCTGTAGCTCTTTTTTTCCAGTTTTTCTATATCCAGAATGTAGAGGACTCTCCACCCGTTATCTCCCTACAAAAAATCGGCTTCTCTCCCCTGTAGTAGGCATCTTTTTTCCTTCTGAATCTGTTTTCCTTGGTATTTATTTGTAAACTATTGGCCAGTCTGAGGCCCATTTACAGGTAAGGCTAACTGGTCTAAAGAGAGGACTACCTGTAGAGGGGCTGCTGGCCTGAGAAGGCACCACCATGGGAGGGCGGTGTTCCACACAATGATGGCAAAGTAGGCCATGGGACAGGCTTCAGCCAGAGGCTGCCTCTTGGTGTCCAGTGGTCTTCCTCGTAAATGCTTAACACTACACGGGTTTTAGAACAATAATAAGAGAAAAAGCAGTACTTACTGAATATGCTTCCATAACTCTTCTTTTGCTTGGATATCAGGGCTCCTCCTATAAAGAGAAAACACAAGACTCATGTCTACAAACATGTTTCATCTAACAATCTCACAGCTAACTTTAGCAGAGCAACATTCCTAGTTTTCAGACCTTGAAGTTCTTACTTGCCAGCTGGGACCAGACAAGAAAAGACTGGGCAGGGAGAGCCAATGTGGGATAGTATAGAGACACCGGATAATTGATCTGCTAGCACTACTGAAGAGAATCACAGAACAACCAGCCACAACCAGGCAGGTTTTATGTGATGAACAGAGCTTAGAAGTTTAGGAGCAAATCCACACACCCTCCAGTGGTGATTTTACAATGAAGAGGATTCAGGGCTTCTGTTTCTGGTCCTTCTGGCTATTTCTAAGTAAAGGCAAAGAACTCATCCTGATTCTATTAATACGAATGATTCCCAACATGATCTGTGATTACCTACTAGAAGCAGCCACAGGGAAAAGGAAATGGTGGGACAGCTCAGACCTGGCAGACTGTGCTAGTGACCCATCTTTCATATTACATCTGACACTGTGTTTCTGGGTCAAAGCATGGGCCCAGAAATGCTGGAACCTGTGTGTGGCTCGTACTGTCACCCTCTATATGCCCTTCTCCACCCCCATCTACATACCCCACAAATCTCTTCTCTGAAAACTACTCGAGTAGAAATTATACCACTACTTTCAATTTCCTAGAATGAGAAATTGGAAGTCAGCATTCCTGTGTTCACCCTCCCAGTAATAGCAATGAATACTAGAAATCTATTATCACTGCAATTGTTGCACAGAACAATGTTTTTTCCTAGTGAGAAAATGATAAGATTTCATTCATCCTTTCAACAGAACCAAAGCCTAATAAAGGCCCAAAGAAAGGACCCAAACCCTAACAATTAAAAGGCCTGGAGGTTTGCAAAGCCACTGCAATACCCTGTCCTGTGGAATTTTGCATTCATAATCTGTATGAACATTTTGGGCTCGATATCACTTTCTACAGATGATATTACCATTGTTTTCATTTTTCTCAGTTAATGAGGCACCACTGAGGCATTCTGGTAGGGCTTTCTGAGTCCACAGAATACAATAAGCTACTTTCTAGCAATTAAATTGACTAAGTGGTCTTTTTTTTTTTCCTTTGTGGGGGAAAAAAACCTGTAAAGGTCTTTTAATCAATGCAAAAGGAATCAAAACACAGAAGATAAGGGGAGAGGATGAAGCCTTGGTCTCAAACATATAAAACGTGATTATTGTTAAATGTTGATGTTGTTATATAATAAAATTATACGCTTAAAAAAAATCTTAAGAAATGCTTCTTTGGGGATCCTGGGTGGCTCAGACAGCTGGGCATCTGCCTTCAGCTCAGATCATGATTCCAGGGTCCTGGGATCGATTCCCACATCGGGCTCCCTGCTCCACAGAAGCCTGCTTCTCCCTCTCCCACTCCCCCTGCTTGTGTTCCCTCTCTCGCTGTGTCTCTCTCTGTCAAATAACTAAATAAAATCTTAAAAAAAAAAAAGGATATTTAAAAAAAGAAAGAAAGAAAAGCTTCTTTGGAAGGATTTTCTGTAAGAAATCTGCCTTTCCTACATTTGGCTGGTGTGATTCACTAGACAATATGTTAACCCACTAAGTGATACTGTCAGAGAAGATGCGAAGATGCTAAGAAGATGCTAAAAAGCACTAAGCTATTCATTCCATTCCCAGAGAAAAGATGGTTCTGTTTTAACTATACACCAGCGTCTGATTCTCACAGAAGGTCACCCAACAGTCTACAGTATTACATCATATCTAGGTTGGGAGGCCGTTCTATTGATAATCATTCTTATCGCTGAAAGATGCGATAGTGTGGCTATCTTTGAGTTGACCTGGGTTCCTCAACCTCAGCACTACTGACATTTGGTGTCAGATAATTCTTTGCTATCGAGGGCTGTCCTGTGCATCATAGGATGATTAGTAGCACCTATGCTCTCTACCCACCACGCTACTAATACCTCCCCAGGGTGACAAGCAAAAAATTGTCTCCAGACACTGGCAAATGTCTCATGGAGGGCAGAACTGCCCCAGATCGGAAATGACTGGTCAAAGGTATGACCTGGAAGTAAAGTGGCTATGGTCAGGTGGAGGGACTATGAGGCCAGGTCACTGCAGAGATACATTATGTGGATGCTGAAACAGTGTTGGAGAGAATGACAGCGAGGCAGGAACCAAATCTTAAAAGAAAGAGGGAAGAAACCCAGGGCGCAGTTGATGAGCTACAGTAAAGTGGTGTAATTCTGATGGTATGAGATTCAAAACTGAGTGCTTTGAGGAAGGGGAGAGAGAGAATGAGAAAAAGCAATGAGGGGGCCCCCCTGACCACCACCCCAGGCTAGTGATGAGAGATGGTGAATGTGAACAATATACAAAAAACTTGGTAATACTGGATATTTCTGAGTGTTGGAATTGCAGGTAACTTTATTTTATTTATACTTAACTTACCTTTTCTGATTTATTTTTAGCCAAGAGAATTTCTAACCTTAGTTATTAGAAAAAAAAACATAGATGTATTTTCATGTTTTAAAAAATTACTATTGTTGCGATTCCACAGGCTATGCCTTTCAGTCCCATCTTGTAAGAATTAGCAGAAATGTTATCTTAACCCAAATGGGAACATTAGTCCGTCCAGCCATAAATAAAGATCCTAAAAGATTCAGAAGTTTAGCCTATGTGTTTCAGTTCTATAGCATCTATAATAGTCATATATTTAAGGAAACTGAGTTCTGAAATGGCCAGTGGTCTCAAGCAGCTTTAGGGCAGGGAGAAGTTCCAAAGCTAAAGAAATAAAAAAAAACCTAATTTCCTCCAATTCCTAGACCACCTGTGATTTAACAGATGTAAACACAGGCAACATGCTAATGAGGAATGTATTATTTTTAGGCTTACATCTGCATACATTTAATCAATAATTTAGGATGAATTCAGGATCTGCAGCTCAACATCATTTTGTAGATTTAGAAAGCTGTGGGATTCCGACAACCATTTTTCTTAATTAAAAGGCCCTTAATTATGCAGATGTTTTACTTGAACTCTCCAAATAAGTTCCTAAGGAAATGTTCTATTTCTATAAAAAATGCACATTAAGTCCAATATTAGTCCAGTATTTCTCAAAAAAAAAACCATCCCTCATCCACACCTTATACCAATAGTCCAATTTAAATATTCATTTTTCAGAGAAATTTGTTTGATGAGGTATCATTTAGAATCATCATCTTCCTCTCTTCCAAAACCCTAAAATAAGAATACTACTTCATAAATCTACAAAGGGTATATTCAAAAAAAAAAAAAAAGGTTTATTTATTTTAGAGAAAGAGCACACAAGTGGTGGGAGGGGTAGAGGGAGAGAATCTTTCAGGCAGACTCCCCACTGAGTGTGGAGCCTCATGTGGGGCTCAATCCCATGACCCATGAGATCACGACCTGAGCTGAAACCAAGAGTCAGACACTTAACCAAGTGAGCCACCCAGGCAACTGTACAAAGGGTTTAAACCCCATCAATGCATGTAGTCTTCTATATCCCCCTAACCTTCCAATTATATTAGCTAGAAAACATTATATATTATACTATAGTGTACAATACATTATATTTTGTATACTATATTATACTAAAAATATAATAAATGTGGTAGCATTTGACTTACTATTTTTATGATTTTACTACTGAACACTGCTCTAAAAGGAAATTTAGAGTTGAAAATATGTTACTAAGAATACTCTAAGTTTATAAAACATCTTTATTTTAAAAATTCAAAGCCCTTGACAAATATATTCCTCATCATATTCCTGAGCAGTCAGAATAGATATGATTAAGAGATAGCTTAATCTTCCCCTCCTTCCCTTTTTCCTCCCTTCCCATGTCAGAATTAAAGAAGGATTAGGAAGCCACAGAGCCCAGCAACCTAGCTGCTGAAGATCATTCAGGAGTCACTTCCAAAACCTACATGCTCAATCTTTAAGGCATCAGACTTCTGTTTGGTGTTTAACTGGCAACATCACTTCATCCTGACAATCTCATTCTGGCATCATCATTTTTCAATAAAAATAGTGAGTCATTATCACCACCAGAGGGAGCCTGAGCCTTCTCACCCACACAAGTGGAACCTGTGAGAACTATTGTTTTGGCTTCAATTGCCTCTTCCAAATATCCCAATAAGTAAAGGTTTACTCATAGAGAAAAGAAGTTTCATCAAAGTTTTCTAATGATAAGTAAACAAGAATGTCACGGCAATGCAGCTGCAAAATGTACCAGAAAGAACTGTACTTCTCAATGACTTCCTAGATGAGATCCAATCTCATTATAGTTTAACGTGTTTTAGGAGAGAGGGGTTTTGTATTTCATACTATTGTATGTCTCTGGTATTTATAATAAATACAGCTTTTTAGCTTTTCACTGGGAATTTAAAAAAAATAAAATGAATGAAGCGTGTGTGAATGATGTATCATAGCATTCTAAACCCCCAGTGGATATACCTCCGTATGACAATTTCTTATTAGACAGTGCAGTAGGAATTCAAGAATATGGGAGTAATTGAGAGGTAAGTGGTTTACTGTATATCTGAAATGCCAAATATAAGTATATGTGAAGAACAATTTTAATTACTTTCTCAGACGCTGCTCTAGCCATGTTTCCATTTTTTAAAAAAGCAGTAGTGGTTCCTAAATTTGCATAGAACCAAATTCTAATCTTCATGTGAGTTGGCCCCACCCTACTCTCTTTATATCTCCCTTCCTCCTCATCTCAAGGAAAAAAAAAATCAATACCTCACAGATTAACCAAGATCTGGAGAACTTAGTAACTGCAATTGCAAGTATGATGTCACAGGTACCTGAATTCAAGTATGACCTGAATTTTCAGCAAAACTCTGTGAGAATGGTATTATCTGTTTGTAGAGATGACACTGGGAGTTCATGGAGATTAGGCAGTAAACTAACACGGGGGAGGCCCAGAGTGTCAACAGAGGTCTGACAACAGCACCCAGCAGA